TTTCCAGGGCAGCAGTCTCCATCCTGGGCCACCTGTCTCTTTCGGTATATTTGTGTGGTGATAGGTGTCAGCCTGGCAGTTTTGAATTATGCAGGTTTTTAGGTGTTGTCATAACTGATCCATACCACAGATTTGGGTGTCTGTGATCTCACCTGTAACTCCATTCCCTCACCCAGTTCTGTGTTGAGAGTCTTTCTCCCTAGCCTTTAGCAAAGGAAGAAGTAAATGTTCTATCTTCACGTGATCTTTTCACGTGGGTCTCTCAGACACCCTGCGATCATCATCTGATGAGGAGAGGGAAATTCCTCATTGCCTCATATTTGAAATGCCTTGCAACTACAGTGTTTCTTTGTTTTAGAGCAGGAAAGCACCTTGGGGTGGTGGTGGTGAGTGTGGATAAGTAAGATTCGTGTCTAAATTTATTTCAAAGCTCCTTTATTCAAAGGTATATCTTATTTCTTGGCAGTGTTGTTTAAAACTCTGAGGGTGACTGGCAAGCTGCTAGTGCTAAGAGCCTTGCCAAATACTATTGCAAAATACTGCCACTCCAGAAGTTGCATAGCTTTACAGACCGTTACGTTTCTCTTGGAGTAAACCAAAGGGGTACCAACTTCTGAGCCTTTGCCTTCGCTGAGAAGCAAGACCAACACATTTCCATCTGCTTATGAGGCACTCGCGTGCTGCTTTGCTGCTGCTCTGTCTTCCAGTTCTTGCAATCAGTTTTCCTTCAACAGTACTTCTCCAGCTCTTGTTCACTGTTATGAAATAACTGAGGCAACAGAAGTATTTAAAACACTTTCATTGTATTGTTAATTGCAAAATAGTTTGGATCAGACATCAGACCAAGGAAGGCTTTGATTCTGGATGCAATGCTGCTAATGTCGCAGGTGCATCAGAATAGATTTGCAGTGCCCCATAGAGTTATACCTCATTTTGAGTTTATTGAACAAGTGTGGAATTGAAATCACTCCGAAGTATTATATTTATCAATATAATATAGGATGCAAAATCTGACATCTGAATATATGCAAACTGTGTGCCAGTTTCTGGGATCTCATAGCTTTCCTGTTTGCTGTTAAAACAAGGCACCGGTTCGAAATACAGTTCTTATTTTGCAGAAACTATCTTGATTGCTATTTCAGGGCTTTGCATCATTAATCTTTGCTCAAATTGGTATTTTAATGAGAAATTGCCAGCATTTGGAAGACTTGTGAGAATTATTGTCCCTTTGATGTTGCATATAACATTGTATTACAGTGACATTTCTCAGTTGAGCTAGGAAGATAGTCTGAAGGAGGTAAGTGCTGCTTAGCACTGTCTTAAATCATGCAGTTATTCCAGTTAAAAGGAACCTTGGGAGGTGCTGAGTGCAACCTCCTGCTCGAAACAGGATTAACCCTGAGTTCAGACAGAGTTGCTCAGGGTTTTGTCTGGCTGGGTTTTGAAGACCTCCAAAAGACAGAGGTTCTACAGCCCCTCTGGGTAACCTGTACATTATAGTGGTTTCCCTTCTGCAGTGCAATGCAGCAAAGAGTCTGTCTCTGTCTTGGTAACCTTCTCAAAGACATTGGGAGGCTGCTGTGAGGTGCCCCTGAAGCCTCCTCTCCTCAAGGCTGAGTGAACCCAGTTGCCTTCAACTCACCTCCTAGAGCACGTGCTGCAGCCCTTGGTGGTCTGTCTTCTGGCCTCTTCCCTGCCCTGTGTCATTCCTGCTTAAGTGCAGGAATGTTGGACATATGTATTTAAATGTGAATGTACTCGGTCTGCAAGACTCTGACAAAACTACTGTGTATTTAGATTATCATAGTTTAAGTTTAGACCTTTTTTTTTTTTTTTTTTTTGCATCTTGATGTTAGCTATTTATGAACTGGGATCACTATCAAGCCCTAAAATATGTTTCATACTAAATTTAGTAAGTAAGTAAGGACTGAGCATTCAGAAAATGAATGCTTTTACTTAAATGCTGTGGAATTTCCAGTTTATGGTGTGTGTTTTGCTTTAATGTTGGGAAGAGCATGGAAGAGGGATAGGAGGTAATTAAAGAAAGAAATAACTTTTGTACTCCCTTTGGATGGAATTTAACCATACCTTGCAAAATGCATTAAGTTTATGAGTTTGCAATGCTACCAGAAACTACAAAACTGAGAACATTTAGAACAGTTCAGAAATAAAGTCTACCTGGCAAAAGTACCCAGACTGTCAAATGTCTGAAGACAGGAGTGTTAAAGAACTAGGAGACTTCTGCTTCCTTGATTGAGTAGTAATGGTGCATCTTGATTATATTATAGAAAAAAATGAAATAAAAAAGCTATGTTTTCATAAAAGGGAAGTAAAAAGAGCATTTAGCGCTAAAGAGTATATAGCAGGGTTTTATGAGAGTGAAACAGAAGGACGTTATCTAGAGTTATAGTAGGTGCTGACAGCCTAGAATCCAGTTTGCCTCCTGATTTTTTTCTTTTTGCCCAAATACTAGGCCCTCCTATTTAAGTGTTTCATTTAAGTAATTAATCTAATGGTGTTAATCTAATCTGCTGATACAGTAATTTTCTTGTAAATAACTAATATAGCTTGAGCAGTTGCTCTTACAAGGGGTTCTGGATTTTCAGGCTAGCGTGGAAATTGTTAAGCAGCATTTTAATATTAAACCATGTAAACTTCACCCTTGTCAATCAGCCCTCATGAAAGAGTATCTGTTGTCTTTGGAATTGTTGGGTCTAACAACTCTTTCCTGCCATCCTGCTGTTTTTAGAGCCCTGATTGAAAACGTAAGGGGCTTCTCTGTCAGGGGACCCAAAACTGTCCCTTGGTGGTGTCCTTTGAAAATCATGTGATAACTTGCAGCAGTGACAGTACATTGCTCAGGCGAGAGCGTGGCCAGTGTGCTCCAGAATTTTCAACAAGATGAAACGATGCTGTTTCCAGTGAGGTTTTACATCTTGTGTATGTGTCCACACACATTATATGTAACTCTAAAGGCATATGCTGGATAGATTGGTTTAACTTCACTTTCCTTCAGAATTTTTTTGAGGTTGGCTGCCTCTTTGGTGCTCTTTTCATGTTAACCAATACGTGATGTGGTGGATGAATAGGATTCTTTATAGAATTATCTAAAACTAGGCACTGATTTATTTGAAAACAAAGGGTTTCTTTAGAGCTAAGTTTAAGCTGGCATTGCCATGAATCCTAGAATTATTCTACATTTAAATGAGAGAACAGTGATGCACTTGTACTTGGACTTTGAACAGCACAGAGCTGTTGACCAGAGACTCGGAGACCGCTGAGCAAATCTGTTTAGGCTCGTTTGCTGAAGTTTCCAAGCCTACTTTTCTCTCCTTACACAGATAATGAAAAGCAAAGCTAAAAAATGCTGTAAGTTGCACTGATCAATGTGTTTCGAGGTATGCAAGTTGTTCTGCTGTGTGTGATCAAAAAATGTGTTAAAAACCTGAGTGCTCTTTAGCAATCTGAATGCATACTTTCTCTCTGTTTTCGTTTGGGGTGTGTGGGATATAGCGCATAGCAGCTAAACAATACCTCACTTGTTTATAAAAAACCTTGGGAAGAAGGGGTGAGAAAGAAGAAAATATTTACAGTAGTTTTCTACCCAATTAAAATCAGAAGGCAGACTGCAAAGGAAGGAGTTCAACTACAATCCAAGCCAATTAAAATTAAATTCTTCTGTTTGGATGTTAATTTACACGTTCAAGGTAATGTAAATTAAAAGTAGAAGCTTGATTTAACCTCACCAATTCCAGCAAACTTCAAATTTATGATTTATTTGGTTTTGGTCATAGCATCTGGGTGTTTAAGTACATTTTATGTGTATTGACAGATGCTATTATAAATTCATAATCAGCCTTAAAATGTTAAACTTGTGGAGTACTTCACCAGAATGTGTAAATAATGCCTGTTTTGCAAACATAGCTCCGCAACATGAGCTGGCTAGGATCTTCAATTAAGATGGTCTTGTGTTTGATGCCCTCAGCCATTTTTCCCGATGTTTAATTACATGGGAATTCTGTAGCTTCTCTCATGTATTAAAAGGTATCTAGAATTTCTGTTGCAAACATTTTAATTGTATTTGTTGATACTAGTTGATGTTGGTTGTGGTTTTTTTACCCAATGTTTCATGTGTGTTTGTTTATAAAGAATTAAAATAGAGGTGGAAGGAGGAATCTCGTAACATGGGGTTTTTACTCAGAAATGAAGCTGTAAACTTGTCCATGTGTGCAAAAATCAGTTTGCTGTTTTACATGGGAGCATCACTTGAAGTGACCTGAAAGAAATTCTATCATCAACCACCCAGTCAAAGCCCAGATAATTATTCAGGGAACCATGTTGGATGCATGGTGTGCACAGAGCAAGAAACAAAACAGTCCTTGACAAGGACTCTGAAGGCTCTGAATATTTCAGAAGCTACAGAGCAGTGGCCTGATAAGGAACAGAGTGTGGCCTTGCAGCTCAGAATCTAAACCGGCACACACACACAGAGACATGTGCACAATTTGACCCTTCTTTAGGAAAATAAAGTTGCATCATGAAATGAAAATATGTTGATAAGAAATAAGGAACTGGCAATGAGAAACTGGAAAGTTCTTTGTCTTGGCTACTGCTTTATGACTCAGCAGCTGGGAAAGATTGATGGCTTGGGTACTTGGCCTTTTGTTTTGGTTCTGCTATTTTAATTGATATGAATCAGAAAGTCCCTAGACATAGGTCCTCATTTAAAGAAAATAAAGAAATAAAAGATTATTACCAACGTTCTTTTAAAGCAAATGCAGTTGTTAAATGAAAACATTGTGATGGTTTGTTACAATTTATTTACAGATTTATTGAAGATGTCCATATGTCACATCAGATGTCAGTTAAAATGGTCAATATGCTGTCTTGAAACAGTCGGTGCCTGGTGCCTAGACACTTAACACTGTCACTCCAGTCGTGCTTGTTGCTGCAAAATATTTAGACCTATCAATTGAAGCAAGCATTGTTGTTCTGGTCTGCTACGGTTGACATGTCCCGCTTAGCTTTCTGCCATATGGATGCCACTGTTGGTCCCTGGATTCCTTTGGTTTGGCTTAGGGTGAGTCTGTGTTACTGTATTAGTTCAGTTCAGGAGCTGGCTTTTGAATTACATCCCTCACATTTTGGTTCACTTTGCCGGGTGATCTTGAGTAAGGTGAGCTGAATTTCTCTCAGATTAAGTCAGACTGAAAGATGTTCTGCAGGAGTGTTTTTAACACCTACATCTACAAACAGATGTCCTGCCCACGGGACCAGGCTAGAGCTGGCTTGGAGCAAAACATACAAAACCTGCCAGACCAACATGGGTAGTGTGGATGCTGCATCCTGACCATCAACTGTTTTCCTCTTTGTGGATGTGCTTTTCTTGCACTGCGTTACTTGCTAACATAGACATCAGAACAAAAACCACAGCAAGGCAAGATGCAAGCACCTGGAGCCTGCCTTTTCTCTTGACTTCAGGTGCAGCCTCATAAGTAGTTTCTCGTGAAAGTTTAACACACCTCTAAAATGACTCTCCCTGCAAATGGAAGTCTCATTTTTCATCTTTTTCTCAGTTTCTTGCCTGTCGCTTGAATTCCCCCAGTATTTCTTCTCTCTGTGCTTTCAAACCATGTTTCCTTTCCCTCACTTCTTGTTTGCTACCATCTCTTTCCTAGAACATTGCTCCCACCCAGAGGTGCAATCTGTCTTTTAAAACTTTTTTAAAAAAGCTTTTATAAAAAGCTGTTTTTAAAGCTCTTCCCAGAAGAATCTCTTCCAATGCTTCACTACCCTTCCATTATTTTTTTTAATGTTCCTGTCTCCTCTCCTCCAGTGTTTAACCTGAGCCTTTCCTGTGCTCATTTTAACTGCGTTAGGACTTGTCCTATCCATAGCTGACTGAAGAGACAATCCCCTTCTCTTTGTAGTAGTCTTCCAATGTAACGGCTATCCCTTAAGTTTGGTTTTTTCCCACCTGTACTAGCTTGTCCATCCAACCTCCCCATAAGTCACCTTTTCTAGACTACTTTGTGTTCTCATTACTGTTTTCTAGACCCTCTTGGGTGGGTCGACATCTTTCCTAGGTATTCAGATACAAACAGAGTAAAGTAGAAGCGTTTTTTTTTTAATTCAGCAGATTATGCTCAGGCTTTGCATGCCAACACTTGTGGGTTTTTTATTTTATATTGCATCACAATCTTTGTCTTTCTTACAACAGAATGATATTTGTCTCTTATGAGTCGCTGTAGTCTGCTGTCTTGTTTCCCATCCTGAATTTCTATATTTGATGTTTCCTGCCTGTGGGCAGTGTCTTGTACGTAATCTGATACATGACACTCCATCCTTCCAGATCACTACTCTATCCTGACGATGATATATTTAACCTTTGTTTCTCACATCCTAAACTAATATTTATTCTTCTTGCATCTGTAGTCTGATTGTTAAAATATCTTGAGGCAGTGTCATGCCTTACTAAAGGACAGATGTGACATCTGTGGTTTCTTTCCAACCTATCTTGAAGGCCTGTCAAAGGAAGTTAGCAATGTGATTTAACAATTCTCTTTTGGCTGCTAGTTAAGATTATCTTCGAGGTGCTTCTAATTAATTTGTTCTGGATTGTTTTCTCCAGAAATTTGAAGTTAAACTGACTCATTGTGTCTCTAATATTCTTACCTGTTGATTTTTGTTGCTTTGTTTTGTTTACTTTTTCCATTCTGGACACACTTTCATTCACATTCTCTCTCTCTGTCCCCTTCGCCCTGAAATCTTACTTGTCATTGCTATTACTTCTTGCATTTGACCCTCTCCGGTGAAGACTGATACCCTAAACATGGTAGCCTTCTGGATGTCATCTCTCATCTGTTTTTCTGTGTTGACTAGGGCAGCAAGGTTTTTTCTTGCTCTTGAACTGTAAACATATTGGTAATAAGAATTATTTTTATTGGTAACCAGTTTTTTTTTTTATTTGCATTACAATTCTATCTTAACCATGCTGATGATTCTCATACCTATGTACTTACACAGATTTTATACTTATTGCTAGCAATTTGTGTTTTCACATTCTATGCCTGTCTTGACAAATAAGTCTTGTGCTACAACTTCTGCTGTTTATTTTTACAGGGCACAAGCACATATTATCTTGTTGTATTGTTTTGTGGATGAACTGCTGCTGTGTCTCTCCTGTTAGTAGTGTCTCTTGTGAAGTCTCCTCTCTACCTGAGTATGTTCACATTTGTCTTCGTTACATTTATGAGCTCCCTCTCCTCCGATTTCATGAGGTTTAGTCAACTTGTCTTCTGAACTGGTTGCTCTCCATTTATCTAGAAACAAATCTAAATTATCTGCTGCCTTTTGTATTTTCTCCAAGTTTTTAATTAAAAAAATGCTAGTAAATTTTATTGAAATAAAAGAAGTATGAGTCTAAACAACAGTAAGCTTCCTGTCAATTCATGGGCCTTTGCTTCTTACGTCATGTGGCTATCAAGATACCACGTGTTGTTAGATTACCATTTCAGGCTCTTCTGTTTTATTTCCAAGTTGCTAGCTGTTTGATACGTAGATTTGAGATATCAAACAAATAATCCTGGTGCTGCTAAATATTTTTTAATGGCTTTGTTCTTGTTTAAACTGATTAGCCCTGCTAGTGCAAATGGCTTGTTCTTGCAACGTTTCAAACTCTGCTGACGGCCAACCACACATCTGTCATTGTGCACAGTGGATCTACTGTAGTGGAAAACATCAATTTAAAAAATAAAGAAAGGGCGTGCTTTCCGATTTACAGAATCACAGAATGCTTTGGGTTGGGGGAGGATATTAAAGATCATCTAGTCTAACCTCATCTCCATTTCTTGTCTGTAACCTGAGCCCATCCGTGGTTAGTCCAGATTTCATGTCACAAGTTGTTGGTACTGTGCAAAGATCAGATGCTGGATCCAAATTCTTCCAGCCATGGATTTATGTCCACCACTTGTTACAGCAATGAAAGTAAAAATGTTTAAAAGAATCACTGCATCAGAGATAACAGTTGTGTGGCTTGATCGACCTTGGCCATTAACTGTAAATGCCTCCCTTGCTGTTTTGAAAGGGGAATGCTGTACAGCGTTCTGGTCTTGAGAGAGAACTGAGTCTTTGCACATTCACTCTTGATAACACCAATGATGGTAAAAGCTTACCATTCACTTTTTTCAAATCCAGGGTAAGTGAAAAAGGCAGAAAGAGCACTTCCACCCTGCTATGGGAAGTCATTCCATGCAGCATTTCCTTTGAATTAAAGCTGCAACACGCTGCTGCTCTTTGGAAAGAAAAGGATCCGGTTGTCCTGACCAGCTCTTACGACTGAGGTCAGCTGATTTTGAAACTCTAAAGGATTACCATGTAGTCTGTTGAGCATGATAAGAGGGGTGTGTGCAGTAATAAATACCTGTATGTGTAAATTTATGTAGTTATCTTGGTCATTGGCAACCACTAGGCACCTGAAGCTGCATCAAGTCCACATTATGCTAGATGTTTTGCACAAAGTTAATGAAGATGACCTCTTTTCCAAAGAACTGCACTCTGGGTTTTATTCCTAGCTGTTGAGATAAGACAAGTCACAGCTGCAGCATGTAAAGGATCCTGAACAGACTAGGTGACAGTGGCATTCATGTGTGGGGAGAGCAGCAAAAGAGGGGCTGTGAGCAAAGAGCTGTGCCTCTTGAGGGTTGAAACCCTGTGGGTTTCATCTGGTGAGGCCAGATTACAGAGAATAGGGAAGTGAAGAGGCAAGATGTAACACGGTAGACAGATATTATCCTCCCAGTGGAGGTAAATGAGAAAGATGATACAACAAAAATGGGAAGGTTTTTTTTTTCATTGCCTACTATTTGATTTTAGTGTTTATGTAGTGTGTGCAACTGTCTGCAACCTTTTTTCTGATGAAGGAGGTGCCCAAAATAAAAAACTATTTAGGCTTTAATATAATAATTAAGTAGGCAAAGATCTGCTAATTTGTCCTGATGTAATGCTTTTTTAGGCTTCTGTTTCCTTTTCTTCCACTTGCACTAACATCTCCAGCTCAATAAGGCTTACTGTGATTTTGATGATAATTTATTTGCAGCCCTTTCTATCCTGTATCTAATTTAAGATTGGTTTTAGCAAACTAATTCACTGAGCATATTGACATGTGCACCCAGATCCTCCTAGGGAGCTCCGATCTTGGTGGGGTTGGCGAGTGGTCTTCCAGACATTTGTATGTAGACTGGGAGTTCTGCTGTTGCTCTGCACAGATAAGAATTAGGGCTGGGGTGCTTTTAGAAGAAAGTAAGAAGTAGCCTATTTTCTCCTAGCTGAGTAAAAAGGCTGTACTTTGCAAGTAATCTTTCTCTACTGTGGGATAATGAAAAAGACATGCTGGAAGTTTGGAAAACTCAAGATCTCTTCCTTGTTCTACTAAAAAATTTTTTTTGTGTGCCTTGGTTGAATCTTTGAGTCTGTTGCAGGTACTTTTCTATTGCTGTTTTCATGTTTTACAGCATAGCAGGTCTTAATTTTGCTGTTCGTTGGAAGCTGAATAGTCTTGGCCAAGAATATGCTGCTACTGGCAAAGAAAATACTACTTAATCTATTTATTGGGATTCAGACCTTGGTTTATTTATTTATTCTCCTTAGCCAATATTTGGGATTTTGTTTCTTTCCTTCTTTAATCTGACTTCCTTCCACTTTTGTTATACATTTTGTGCCAACATACTGCAGACTTAACCACAGACTGGTGTCAGACTTATTTTTCTTTTAAGGCTCTTCAGTAAATTGACTGCTTAACGTTTCAGGTCTGGGCAGATTATCTAGCAGTCTTTGAAAACTTTTGAAATGTAAGACAAATTCCATGATATAGGTGTTCAGAAGATACTGACTAGTATTCTCTGAAATAACTTCTTATTAGTACCTGATTTACTCCTTCGTAGCAAATTTCTCC